GACAAGACAGAGGTCCTCCTGGTCGATCATAAACCAGATCGGGGTATAGGTGGCAACCTGTGTTGGACGGGGTTACACTCCCCCTGAAGCCACAGGTCCGCAGCTTGAGAGTCCTCCTGGACTCATCGCTCACGCTTGAGGCTCAGGCGTCGGCGGTGGCCGGGAGGGCTTTTGCACAACTGAGACTTGTGCGCCAGCTGCGTCCGTACCTCGCTAAGGCTGATCTGGCCGGGGTGGTCCATGCCTTAGTCACCTCTAGACTGGATTACTGCAATGCGCTCTACGTGGGGCTGCCCTTAAAAACGGCTCGGAAATTCCCATTGGTCCAACGGGCAGCAGCCAGGATGTTAACTGGGGCCCATTACAGAGAGAGGTCAACCCTCCTGTTTAAGGAGCTCCACTGGCTGCCGTTTATTTTCCGAGCCCAATTTAAGGTGCAGGTGCTTACCTACAAAGCCCTGAACGGTTTGGGACCACCCTACCTGCGTGACCGTATCGTTGTCTACGAACCCACACGCTCACTCCGGTCATCTGGAGAGACCCTGCTCGTGATCCCGCCCGCGTCACAAGCGCGCTTGGTGGGGACGCGAGACAGGGCCTTCTCTGTGGTGGCCCCCCGCCTCTGCCCTCCCGAAAGATCTCAGACAAGCCCCTACATTGGCAGTCTTCAGAAAGAGTTTGAAAACCTGGCTGTTCCAACGTGCCTTTTCAGATTAGGAACCCCAGTGCCAAATCCCCAGAAGCACTTTAGTAGAACCACACTGCACACCACACTGCACACCGCACTTATATTTTAATCCCATATCCCTCCGACACATCAGCACTTTTAATCCTGTACCCCTACTCCGGCCGGCTCAGTTTTAATAATGTCTTGTTGTATTGCTATTGTTTTATTGTTTTTCTGCTTAACTGTTTTATTTGCTATGTATTGTATTGTTGTATTGTGTTGGGCTCCGGCCTGTTGTAAGCTGCATCGAATCCCTTGGGAGATGCTAGCGGGGTACAAATAAAGTAATAATAATAATAATAATAATAATAATAATAAGGGAAAAGCATAATCAAACCACTACAGAGAGATGGCCATTCAGCCTCTGTATAATAATAATAATAATAATAATAATAATAATAATAATAATAGTATCGTAGGATAGGGAGAGACCTCCAAGGGTCATCCTCTGCGCGGCGGTTGGGTTGCCTTCCTTCCTTGCCTTCTGCCACGCACGTGCAGTCGAGGTGATTTTTTTCTCCTCCTCTCTCCCGCGGATCTCTCCCCCCTCCCTCCCTCCCTCCCTCCCTCCCTCCCTCCCTCCCTTCCTTCCTTCCTTCCTTCCTTCCTTCCTTCCTCTCTGTCTTCAAGAGAGTGGCTGTTCCTACAATCTCTGACCCCCCTTTTCCTCTTCTTCTTCTTCTTCTCCTCCTTTCTTTGTCTTTCTGACTTTCTTCTTCTCCTTCAAGCCTCACTTGTAGCCTCGGGGCCAACCAACCACCATGGCTGCAGCTTCCAAAAGAGATACAGAGTGAGAGGGAAATGGGAAGCAAAGGGAGGGGGGGGGGGGAAGGATGGGAGGGGAAGGGAGAAAAAGAAACAGTGCCCCCAAGAGTCATCCAGTCCAGCCCCTTTTGGGAAACGGGAGAAGCACAATCTAACCACTCCTGACAGATAGCCAGCCTCAGTAATAATAATAATAATAATAATAATAATAATAATAATAATAATAATAATAGAAGTGCACTTACATCTGGAGAGCACTGTGAACCAAAACGAAGATGAATGTGGACCAAACTTGGAAAGAAAACTCAATATGGTCAAATTAGAGCACGGTGGAGTTTGGGGAAGACCTTGACGTTTGGGAGTTGCTGGCATTTATAGTTCATCTGGTAATTTGACCATAGGAACGGAACAACGGAAATGATATCGGATTGGGGGGTTGACGATGAGACAACTCGGAATGGCTTTGTAGCAATGTTGATGTTTTGATGAGATGTTTTCTGATAATGATGAATTGTGGATTATTTTACACTATGTTTTGTATTTTGCACCTGTTTTTCTATGTTGTACACCGCAATGAGTCGCCCTTGGGCTGAGAATTGCGGTATATAAGCGAAGTAAATAAATAAATAAATAAATAAAGATTTGATATCATCCTATAATCAATCTCAGGAGGGGGGGGCGAAGGGCCCGGCGCTCTTTCACGCCACGTGCTGCCTTTTTGGTGCCTTTTTGTGCCGTTTTCAGCACTCTGGGTAGCCATGGGCTACAGGGAAGGCGGGGGGCGGGTGATGGATGGCCCTGGGTCAAGCCACTGTGGAGCAGTCCCATGGTCCTCACACCGACGGGCTTTTAGCCAGGGAAAAGAAGTCCTCTCTGCCTGCAACTGCTCCTGGGAATGGCGGGCCAGACCTCTCCCAGGTGCAGTTGCTATGGAAGCCTCCGCACCAGCAGCATGGCAACGGAGTGGAGAAGCCCGCTCCTGCTTCTGCTCCCTGGCTTGAAGCTCGAAGAGGCCTTGAGCAAGTGAGTAGGAAGAGGCCCCTCTGCCCCCGTCACCGTTGGTCAGGCATTTGAATTGTAAAGGACGATGAGGAGCTGTGGCTGGCTCTGGGACGCCTAGCATCCATTGCCGCCACAAGTTCTGCCGCGAGACGATGGAGGAGCTCTCTTACATGCATGTGCGCTCCCCCCCCCCACAGCTGCACGCATGCACTCTGGTGGCTTCTCCTTTCATGTAAGTTGTTTTCAGTTTTTTTATTGATGGTCACACCTTGTATGGTGAGGAGTTTTGTTGCCAAATTTGGTGGGTATTGGCCCAGCGGTTCTTTTGTGTTTAAGCCACTCACGACGACATGAGCATTTTTATATATATAGATTGTTAGGTGTCTATATTGTAACTATAACAGTACAATGAATTCTCTGTTACTTTTCTTTAAGTAATTGCACAAGTGGGCTCGGGAAGTCCAACCCCCTTTATTCTGTAAGGCAGGAAAAGCTCAGTCAAACCACTCCAACAGATGCCCACCCAGCCTTTGAAATAATAATAACAACAATAGGAAACCTACTATGTAAACTTTGGAATGTCTGCCTCTCAACTTTGCCTACCTCACAGGGTTGACTCAACTCCCAACGATACCTTTTAGCGATTCTCCAAACAACTGAACATTTTTCTGTTTTCTGTATATTTGCAAATAAAAGTTCATAAGTTATTCTGCATCATACAGTGTTTTTTGATTTTTGTATGGGAATTTTCATATGCCTAGGAAATGCTCGTCAGGTATCAAAAGTGTACCACATGAGAAAGCAAATAAAGGAATATATGAACTTGTTTGCTGTGAATTCAGGGTTTTGTTTTGTTTTTACAATGGGAAGCAATTTTAATAGACCTTTCTGCTTATGAAGACAAGAAGAAAATCAGATTATCAGCTCAGTACTACTTAGTCATGCAGCCCTTCATCTATAATCTGAGTGGTAGAATCCAAACACACAGTCACCTGCCTCCGTTCACTTACCAGTTTCAGTGGAATTACATATTGGGTAGAAGTATAATCCAAAAAAAAAAAAAAGAATAACTTCATGTACTCCACATAAATAATTCAACTCTGATTCCCATCAGGCACTGCCATACTTGGTTTTCAAGTATTTGTGACTGTTTAAGGCAGTGACGATTTTCTCATAAATGTCCCACTCAGATAGAAAAATATGTATTTAGGACTTAGGATTGATCCCAATCCATATTCAAAAGCTCTATAGCAGGGGTCCTCAAACTTTTAAAACTGAGGGCCAGGTCACAGTCCCTCAAATTGTTGGAGGGCCGGATTATAATTTGAAAAAAACATGAATTAATTCTTATGAACACTGCACATATCTAATTTTAGTGCAAAAACACTTTAAAACAATACAATGATTGAAATGAAGAACAATTTTAATAAATATAAGCTTATTATAATTTTAACAAATATAATTTTAACAAATATAAATTTATAATTTTAACAAATATAAGCTTTTTTGGACATTGGAACGCCTGTGCGGGGTTCCCCTGCCTCTCCTGTTGCTTAAGACCACTTTTTCCATCAGCCCACTTTGGTTGGGATTCAATGTTTACTTTTAAGCTCTTTTTTGTATTTATATTTGAATTATTGTATGTTGACTTTTAAGCTTTTTTATTGTATTTCTATTTGAATTACTTCTAAGCTTGTTATTGTATTTATATTCGAATAATTATCACATGTTTATTATTGTATGTTTAAAATCATATGTTAATTGTTTAAATTCTTATATTTATTATAATATGTGTAATGTGGTGTTGTATGCCATGGATTGTAAGCCACCCTGAGCCCCCCACTGGGGTGAGAAGAGTGGAGTATAAATGTAGTATAATAATAATAATAATAATAATAATAATAACAACAACAAATAGTATTTCAGTGGTAAGTGTGGGCCTGCTTTTGACTGATGAGATAGGATTGTTGTTGTTGTTGTTGTGTGCTTTCAAGTCATTTCAGACTTGGGTTGACCTTGAGCTGAGGGCCGCATTCAGCCCTCGGGCCATAGTTTGAGGACCCCTGCTCTACAGAATAGGGAACCACTGTGCTTATTAATATCTTGTCCAACTCTGGAGAGACTATTTAGCAAACCAAGAACCTCTCCATGCCAAACCGGTACAGGAAAACCTTTGGACACTCTTCTTAGAAGATCAAATGATTACTCATTGAAACACATGAACACACAAATAGCAAAGGGTGATGCTGCAGAAGTTATCAACCAATAAATTCATGAAGCACTACAGTACATTTTCCGTTATGGATCCAAAGAGTTCTTTAAAAGTGCACACTATTATCTTGTCCCAACATGTCACGATACATTCAAACTTAGGATCGGCTTTACCACTCACTTGAAATCTGGCCTCTCCTCCTCCTCCTCCTCCTCCTCCTCCTCTTCTTCTTCTTCTTCTTCTTCTTCTCTTCCTCCTCCTCCTCCTCCTCCTCCTCTTCCACCACCACCACCTTTTCTCATTAGAAATGTGGATTGCAGCCCTCTTACATATTCCATACCAGGACACTTTTGTACAAGTAATACCTTATATTCTATCTTATCAGAACATACATCTGTAGTCAGCCCCATATAAGGGCTCTGAACACTAGGGAGGGGGGTGAAGTGCAAGAGAAACCTAACAAAGCTTTAGCTATGTCATTGTTGTGTAGGTTTTAAACATCAGTATTCCATCTATTTAAAAAAGATTGTGAGTGTTAAGGAATTGGGGAGAATTTGGGGGAACAGACGGTTAGTGACTTAACACTTCCTCATCTCCCCGCTTCTCTGACTCCTCCATTTATCTTTTGTATATATGTGCTTGTGAGTGAAATAAGCAGAACTGGTCACCATATTTTACATTCTATACTGATAATATTCAGTTTATAACAGATATAATAAAGGAATAATCAAGCTATCTCATCCCTCGTTTCCTTCACTCTACTTCCTTAGCAGACCATGAGACGTGACTACCATCCTTGTCCCTAACTCCCATTGTAAGTGAGGCCAATATTATTATCCATGCTGGGCATGAAACTTTCTAGGAACCACTGTATTGACTATCTTGTACGTGCTCTCATCACCAGTCAGAGAAGGCCAGTGGGCGTTGCTTTGGAAAGACAGACAAATAGGGCTTGTTAAGTGTAGATACCAAAGATGCTTGTGAAAAGTGGAATTGCAAGAGTTTTTAAATGCAAGTTAGTTAGTTTGTACTGTACATAGCCCTCCTTAGACAAGACTGTCTCATTGGATACAAGACCCCTGGTTGCGGGTTAAAAATGACCAAGTTGGACCACCATGGTAGCAATGTTAACTTCTTTCCCTGTGAATGAAAGCCTTGTTGCAATGGTAGGTCTTGGACACAGGTTCCATTTTTTGCCCAAAGAGTTTCAGAATTAAAATCCCCATCACCGAAAGGGGGGCACACCCTGAAGCACCCTATGAAAGTGATAGACTGTGATCATACTTCTGTACTAAAAGCCCTCGGGTTTGTAAAGGTCTCGCGTATGATGCAGTGGTGAGTCACCGGGTAACTCTGGAAGGTTGCCATTTTGATGGGCAGTCCCATTTCTTTGCAGCACATGGGTGTATAGGTGATCCTCTCGCCCCCGTTTCGCACCATGTCAGCGGTCCGTATATAAAAGGGGGAGCCAGAGGGGGAGCAGGTGGGGCAATAGTTCCGAGTGCCCTGCTTGTTAAGCTCATGAGGTGGAAAGGAGGGGTTGCCCTGCCCGTCCATGATACGAGAGTTGCAAGCGTTGCACATGACGTAGTGGGAATGGGGGGGAAGGTCAGTCTCCCCCTCTCCCTCCTCCTCCTCCTCTTCCTCCTCTTCCTCTTCATCAGATTCATCTTTCTTGCAGCAGTAATACTAAAGAGGGGAAATATCTTGGGTTAGAACGCAAAAATGCAATTTACAAAAAAAAAATGTCATTTGGCTACAATAATAGTAATAGTAATAGTAATAATAATAATAATAATAATAATAATAATAATAATAATAATCTTTATTTAAACCTGGGAATCACAACCAGATACAGTGAAGACATCTGCCCTTGCGCTGCTACTCTGCTGCTGAGTATGCATGCCCAGTGTGGAACACATCTCACCACACTAAAACAGTGGATGTGGCTCTTAATGAGACATGCCGCATTATCACGGGGTGTCTGCGCCCTACACCACTGGAGAAATTACACTGCTTAGCCGGTATTGCACCACCTGACGTCCGCCGGGAAGTAGCAGCCAATAGTGAAAGGACCAAGGCAGAGACATCTCCAGCTCATCCCCTGTTTGGGTATCAGCCAGTACGTCAACGACTTAAATCAAGAAATAGTTTTCTTAGATCTACAGAGACACTCGCTGGAACACCTCAGCAAGCGAGAGTCCAAAAGTGGCAGGCTCAAACCCAGAACCTCAATCCAAGGCTGATACCCAATGAGAGACTCCCTCCTGGGCACACAGAGGACTGGGCGACTTGGAAGGCACTGAACAGACTGCGCTCTGGCACCACGAGATGCAGAGCCAACCTTCAGAAATGGGGCTACAAAGTGGAATCCTCGACATGCGAGTGTGGACAAGAGCAAACCACTGACCACCTGCTGCAATGCAACCTGAGCCCTGCCACATGCACAATGGAGGACCTTCTTGCAGCAACACCAGAGCACTCCAAGTGGCCAGATACTGGTCAAAGGACATTTAATCAACTACCAAACTCACAAATTTTGTATTTTGTCTGTTTGTTTGTTTGTTCTGTTAGAAATGTAATATAATTGACTGGTTATAATAATAATAATAATAATAATAATAATAATAATAATAATAATCTTTATTTGTACCCCGCTCCATCTCCCCGATGGGGACTCGGTGCGGCTTACATGAGGCCAAGCCCAAAACAACAATTACATGAAATAAAACAAAACCGAAAACGCAAATAATAAACAATAATAACGCAATTACATAAAACAAAAGACAACATAGCAATATAAAATTACAATAAACACAATCACGGTAACATGGGCGAGCGACATGTAATGGAAAAAAGAAAATTGGGTAGAAACAGATTAAAAACTCAGGCGAGATAAACAAGGACAAATTATTTGCAGAGGAGAGCTTGTTTTAGTGGAGGTCATGGAGCAAAACTTTCTTATGGGGGGAATGCACTCCAATAACAAAAACCATTAAACTAAACACTACTGTGAGGATGTAGATCTACTCATCAAATGCGCAGCGGAAGAGCCAGGTTTTGAGGTCCTTTTTAAAGGTTTCTAGGGTAGAAACCTTTCTAGGGTATAAACTCCCTGCCTCAGAGTTTAAGATCTTCTGGGGAGGCCCTGCTCTCGGCCCCACCTCTATCACAAGTGAGATTGGTGGGGATGAGGAGCAGGGCCTTCTCGGTGGTGGCCCCTCGCCTGTGGAATTCACTTCCCGGGGAAATTAGGTCATCGACATCCCTCCTCTCTTTTAGAAGGAAACTAAAAACATGGATATGGGACCAGGCCTTTGGGTAATCTGGCAGATAGACAAAGGACAACGACGACTAGAATTGATAGGATTTGACATTGTGGACTGAACTTACAGATTCTGAGCTGGCGAACGTTGAGCATTAGATTGGTTTTATTGATTGTGATGTATAATTGATTGTTTTAATTGTTTTATAATTGCTGTTTATATATGTTTTATCCTATTGTGTTGGCATCGAATTGTGGCTTTTGTAAGCCGCCTGAGTCCCCCTTTGGGGGTTGAGAAGGGCGGAGTAGAAATGCGCGAAATAAATAAATAAATAAATAAATAAATAGGGGCTTTCCTAATCTCTCCAGGGAGTGAGTTCCAGAGTCAGGGAGCCACAGAAGAAAAGGCTCTCTCCCTTGTACTCACCAAGCGAGTCTGGGAGACTGGTGGGGGCGAAAGAAGGGCCTCCCCAGAAGAACGGAGGGCCCAAGATGGTTCATGGAGAGAGATATGGTCACGAAGGTAGGCAGGTCCCAAACCGTTTAGGGCTTTATTGGTGATAACCTGCACCTTGAATTGGGACTGGAAAATAAATGGCAGCCAGTGGAGCTCCTTGCAAGATGCCTTAGATCAGGGTCCTCAAACTTTTCAAACAGAGGGCCAGGTCACAGTCCCTCAAACTGTATAATTTGAAAAAAACATGAATGAATTCCTATGCGCACTGCACATATTTTATTTGTAGTGCAAAAAATACTTTAAAACAATACAATAATTAAAATGAAGAACAATTTTAACAAATATAAATTTATTAGTATTTCAGTGGAAAGTGTGGGCCTGCTTTTGGCTGATGAGATAGGATTGTTGTTATTGTGTGCTTTCAAGGCGTTTCAGACTTAGTTTGACCCTGAGCGAGGGCCGGGTAAATGACCTTGGAGGGCCGTATCCGGGCCCCGGTCCTTAGTTTGAGGACCCCTGCCTTAGATTGTCTAAATCATTTCTTCAATGCTGCCACTTTATTTATTTACTGTATTTGTATATCGCCTTTCTCAGCCCATAGGCGACTCAAGACAGTTAACAGGGTAAAATTCAATGTTTACAATATCATAAATATTATTAAAAACATAACATATAATAAAAACTAAAGAAATCAATAAATATGAATTCATAGTGTCTCCTTGTTAAAAATGTTGTCCCGTCTCATTGTAGTGCCAAATTTGACATGGATTTGGCTTCATGGTCCATGAAGCCAAATCATTCCCAGTGGCACCATCCATGAAGTTAGTTATTCTCTTCTATTATCCTTCTCTCCCTTCCTGGATCAAGGCTCTTCAGCTTCCTACTCATAACCTCATAATTTCATGTGATCTCATGAAGCCTATACCTTGGTTCTCAGGTGGACCTAAAGGAAGAGGTACTTAACAGTCTGTGGGCTTGCAAGCCTTCTTAGCTTTTGTGTTACATCTCAAATTGAAGAAGGGAACCGAATTATGGGAGCATAGTTCCTTACCTGTAGCCTACAATAGCAGAGAACAGCGATTATACACAGTAAGATTACTGTTGCTAGTATTCCGCCAGTGATTACAACAGTTCCTGCTGTCATCCGACCGATTCTCCATCAAACTCTACAAAAACATCAAATATAACTCAAGGTACTCAAATAACAATTGTGGGACCCTCCCTACTATTTCAGCCTCTCCACTCTATACTCAGCATGCTTTGTACTCTCTCTTTTTTTCAGCCTTTAAGTTCTATCTGACCCCAATAATATTTCTGCCACCCTTGGGGCTGTCTTAATCTTCTAGCATCTTCACTCACAACACACACACTTATGCTGGGATGGTTGTACCTTGGCGGCATAGAGCTCTCCAGTAAGGGAAACAGTGTGCTGATTTTAATAAATTTTATCATCTTTAAAAAATATTTTTAATTATGACAGAAGAGCTTGACATACTGAAGGGAACTAGACAGGGATGCCCCGTCTCCACTGATATTTATAATGGGATTAGAACCATTAATGAAGGCAATAAGAGAAGACCAAATGATACAGGGATCTAAAGTTGGTAAGTTGGAAAGTTCTGAGAGTGCCTTGGACTGCGAGAAGATCCAACCAGTCCATCCTCCAGGAAATAAAGCCCGACTGCTCACTGGAGGGAAAGATACTAGAGACAAAGTTGAAGTACTTTGGCCACATCATGAGGAGACAGCAAAGCCTAGAGAAGACAATGATGCTGGGGAAAGTGGAAGGCAAAAGGAAGAGGGGCCGACCAAGGGCAAGATGGATGGATGGCATCCTTGAAGTGACTGGACTGACCTTGAAGGAGCTGGGGGTGGTGACGGCCGACAGGGAGCTCTGGCGTGGGCTGTTCCATGAGGTCACGAAGAGTCGGAGACGACTGAACGAATGAACAACAACAACAAAGTTGGTAAATACGAACATAAAATAAGAGCCTTCGCAGACAATGTACTTGGGATAATGGAAGACCCAAGCAAAAACATACTAAGATGGATGCAGAAGATAAAAGAGTTTGGATCAGTTGCAGGATTTAAAGTCAATATGTCAAAAACAAAGATACTGACGAAAAATGTAGAAAAGAAAAAACAAGATATTATTAAAGAGCAAACAGGTCTGGAAATAGTTAAGAAATTTAAATATTTAGGAGTATGGATCACGACAAAAAATGGACAACTACTAAAGAATAATTATGAAGAAGTCTGGAAAAAAATACAAAAGGACTTACAAAAGTGGAAATATCTGAAGTTGTCACTTTTAGGCCGTATCTCTCTGATTAAGATGAATGTTTTACCGAAATTGATGTTCCTTTTTCAAAACCTCCCGATAATCAGAAGTCAAGTATTCTTCACAAAATGGAAAAAAGAAATACTGAAATTCACATGGGCTGGAGGAAGACCAAGAATAAAGTATGATAAATTGATTGATAAGAAGAATAGAGGAGGCTTGGGCCTCCCGGACTTTAAAGCATATCATGACGCATGTGCGTTGATATGGGTAAAAGATTGGATATTGTTGAACAAAGAAGACTTTTTGAATATAGAAGGAAATGATCTAAGAGTAGGATGGCATGCTTATTTATGGTATGAAAGGGAAAAAATCAGAGAAATAAAGGACATGGACGAATTGACTTTTTTGTTGAAGAAAAATACAGGCATTATAATAAAAAGAACGAATTGGGACAATCTTCATGACTATCTGGACAATTTGCAAAAACAAGAGAGACAATTTTATTATCTTTTAAAAAATTATATATTTTTTTGAATAATAAGAATATTTTATCCAAGAAGATGGAATGGAAGTCACCCTTTTCTTTTTTCTTTTGTGTGTGTGTGTGGATGTATTTTTGTAGTTTATATATATATATATATATATATATATATATATATATATATATCTTTTTTTTAAGGGTTTATTTAGGATGTCCTTTTTACTTTACTGGCCTTTCCCTTTCTCTTTTTTTCTTCACTTTTCTATATCTTATTGTTCTCACTCTTTCATTGTATTCTATATAAAATTTAATAAAATTTCTTTTAGAAAAATTTAATTATCATTTACTTATGGCCATCAGCTCCAGTTTTCAACTCACCAAAGCATCCCATGACTTACTCTGAGATTTTATCCTAGAGTTATCTTTGCAAGAAGGGGAAGTTTCTGTTGCCTTCCTCTTATGCTGAGAGAGTGTCACACACTCAAGTCCTCCCAATCTGAATAGAGATTCAAACCCTGGTCTCCCAGAGTCTTAGTCTAAGAGACAGACCCCTATGATGCATTGGCTAACAACTGCAGGCATTAAGAAATATACAGGAGAATAAAATGAAAGGCAACACAGATTTGAAATGATTAAGGGGACTTACGTTCAGTGAAGAGTATGTTGGACCTGCAAGACAGAAAAGAGAAGGAAATACGATAGATAAAGGAGAGACTTGAGAAACTGCAAGTCACTTCTGGTGTGAGAGAATTGGCGGTCTGCAAGGACGTTGCCCAGGGGACGCCCAGATGTTTTTACCATTGTTATGGGAGGCTTCTCTCATGTCTCCACATAGTGAACTGGAGCCCACAGGAGAAGCTCAACCTGCTCTCCCCGGATTCAAACCAATGACCCATCGATCACCAATTCTTCCGGCGCAAGGGTTTAACCCAGTGGTTCTCAACCTTCCTAATGGCGCGAGCCCTTAATACAGTTCCTCATGTTGTGGTGACCCCCAACCATAACCCTAAAATTATGAATCGCCATGTAAATAATGATGTATTTTCATTCACTGGAGCAAATCTGGCACAAATACCTAGTATGCCCAAATTTGAATACTGGTGGGGTTGGCAGGGGGATTGATTTTGTCATTTGGGAGTTGTAGTTGCTGGGATTTATAGTTAACCTGTAAACAAAGAGCATTCTGAACCCCACCAACAATGGAATTGGGTTGTTGTAGGTTTTTTCGGGCTGTATGGCCATGGTCTAGAGGCATTCTCTCCTGACGTTTCGCCTGCATCTATGGCAAGCATCCTCAGAGGTAGTGACATCACTACCTCTGAGGATGCTTGCCATAGATGCAGGCGAAACGTCAGGAGAGAATGCCTCTAGACCATGGCCATACAGCCTGAAAAAACCTACAACAACCCAGTGATTCCGGCCATGAAAGCCTTCGACAATACATTGAACAATGGAATTGAACCAAACTTGGCGCCCAGAACTTCCATGACCAACAGAAAATATTGGAAGGGTTTGGTGGGCATAGAATTGAGTTTGGGAGTTGTAGTTTGCCTATCTCCAGAGAGCACTGTGAGTTCAAACAATGATGGATCTGGACCAACTTTGGCACGGATACTCAGTATGCCCAAATGTGAACACTGATGGGGTTTGGGGAAAATAGACTTTGACATTTGGGAGTTGTAGTTGCTGGGATTTATAGCTCACCTATAATCAAGGAGCGTTCTGACCCCCACCAATGATAGAATTGGGCCAAAGTTCCCACACAGAACCCCCATGACCAACTGAAAATACTGTGTTTTCTGATTGTCTTTGGTGACCCCTCTGACACCCCTTCACGAGACTCCCAGGGGTCCCGACCCCCGGGTTGAGAAACACTGGTTTAACCCATTACGCCACCGGGGGCTCTATGAGACTCAGTAACTGCCAGGCATTTCCTAAAAATCTTTCCAAGACATCTATTCGTGCAAGCAAGACCAAGTGGTGTTCTGGAACAGCATTTCCTTTTGTTCCACAGACTTCCCAACTGAAATCTATCTTTATTTGAAAGATTGTTTCCAAAACCACAGAATAGTGGAAGGATAGTTGGACAGAATCTCAAGCAACATCCAGTCCAACCAAATAACTTCTGTCAGATGGTGTCTATCCCACACGTGGAGAATTCATCTTCCTTAGAAGATGAAGAAGGCTTACAGCAGTGAATCCTCCTTCAGCAATTCAGTCTGATGAACAGTCCTCCTCCAATACAGCAAAAGGAGAGAGTGCAGTGTTTAATGCAGTCCTTAGACACAACCACCTCCCTCCTGACCTTCCGTAAGAAAGTGAAAATGTGGCTTTGTGATCAAGCCTTTGCAGAACTTGTACAATAGATAAATATGGAATTACATGGAATGTCTATTGGAACAGCCCGGATTGTGATTGTGGATAGCGTGATTAATAGGGAAGGTATTGTTTTAAACGTTTTACAAATTTTAATGTATTTGAAATTCTATTTTAAAATGTTTATTTTAATTGTACCTTGTCTTAAGGCATCGAATAGTTGCCTATGTTGCCTTGAATTTTTATTTTATTTTATTTATTTATGACATTTATATGCTGCCCTTCTCACCCCGAAGGTGACTCAGAGCCGCTTACAATATATATATACATACAATATATTATATTATTAGCATAGTGCAATATCAGTATTATATATTACTATATTGTACTATACCATTATATTGTAATATTATTAGTATTATTACATGTAATATAAAATATATAATTATAATGTATTATTATTATTAGTATTATATTGTATTACATTAAATATTATAAATATTATATGTATATACATATATATAATATTATAATATAATATAATATAATATAATATAATATAATATTATATTATATTATAATAACACCAATTTTAAAAAGAATACACATGTATTTGACTGTATCATCTATATAAATAAAAATGTAATGTTTGTTTGTGGGATTAACAGAACTCAAAAACCACTGCACCAATTGCTTCAAATTTGGACACAAGACACCTACTAATCCAAGGAGTGACCATCACTCAAAAATTGATTTTGTCATTTGGGAGTTGTAGTTGCTGGGATTTATAGTTCACCTACAATCAAAGAGCATTCTGAACTCCACCAATGATGGAATTGAACCAAACGTGGCACACAGGACTCCCTTGACCAACAGAAAATACTAGAAGGGTTTGGTGGGCATTGACCTTGAGTTTGAGAGTTGTAGTTCACCTACATCCAGACAGCACTGTGGACTCAAACAATGATGGATCTAGACCAAAGTTGGCCATATGCCCAAATATGAACACAGATGGAGTTTGGGGAAAATAGACCTTGACATTTGGGAGTTGTAGTTACTGGGATTTATAGTTCACTTACAATCAAAGAGCATTCTGAACCCCACGAACAACAGAATTGGGGCAAACTTCCCACACAGAACCCATGACCAACAAAAAATACTTAAGGCCATCCAGTCCAACTTGCTTCACCAGGGCAAGAAAACATAATCAAAGCCCTCCTGACAAAGAGCCATCCAGCTATAGATATGGATAGATATATATGATTCACACACACACAGATATAGTATCATAAATTTGAAAGGGATCCCTAAAGAAGGACAATTATATGTTACATGTTCCAGAGTGGGCAAACCAGACAATCTCAACATCAACACTGACAAAGAAATAACAAGAAATACTGTTTACCTATAAACATAAAGAAATTACATACATTAGAAACACTCATTACTTTATTTTCCAGATCACCAGACTGGGCCACAGCAACACGTGGCAGGGGACCGCTAGTATAATATTATAAGCATAGCACAGGAGACAAGGTGGAACTGACCCTGTCCCCCTCTCTCTTCACAGCTGTGAGACATACTTTTTAAATACTATCGGACATGGGGACATAGGCTGAGCAAAAGTTTGATAAAGGATGGTTTTTGCTTTCTTGGCTGGTACTGAAAGCAACATTAGTCTTCCTTGTGACTCCTAGGCCCTGCTGTTATACATCTTAGATTTATGACCCTTGGACTGCTCACTGACTTTTCTACTTGGACTTTGTTCTGATTTATGGCTTCTTGACCTCGGACTGTTGATTATTGCCGATTTCATGCCTCGGTTTCTGAACTCATGTAAGAGTAGGGCACCATCATCCTTCCAAACAGGCCCTCCATTGCTGAATAGCTGTTCTTTCTATTGTTTACGTGGAATCTCTCTTTTGTACTTTGAATCTACTGGTTTATGTTCTCATCTGTAGAACAGGAGAAAGCAACCTTGTTCCGATAATGGGCTTTCATGGATTGTAGGCTTCCTATCCATGTTAACAGTTCAGCAATCTGGAAATCTTCACATAAAACACCAATATGGTCAGTATGTATGTACATATCTATGTTTCTGAAGGATCTTTACCTCACCTAAAGTTTCCCAAACAGCTCAAAGTAATTATGTATATGGGCCTTTAAGTCACCTATCAACTTATGGCAACCCCATGAATTTCATAGGGTTACCTATGCAAGTTATACTCAGAGGCAATTTTGCCAGTTCCTACAGTAGTAGTCTCCTATCCAGGGTTGACCATATTTAGCTTCCAATAATAATAATAATAATAATAATAATAATAATAATAATAATACTTTATTTGTACCCCACTACCATCTCCCCAAGGGACTCGGTGCGGCTTACATGAGGCCGAGCCCAAACACAACAATACAAGCAATAATAACAACAATACAAGCAATTAAAAAATATAGACAGTAAAATACATAAGATCAGATGTGATGTGATGCTTAGTTTTAAGGTTCAACAAAATTCACAATAGTTACTAGGAAGATGCAAAAATACATTCAGATGTACCAGAGTTTGGAAAGCGTAGTTTATTTGGTCTAAAGTAAAGGTAAAGGTTTTCCCCTGACATTAAGTCCACTCGTGTCCGACTCTGGAGTGTGGTGCTTATCTCCATTTCTAAGCCGAAGAGACAGTGTTGTCCATAGACACCTCCAAGGTCATGTGGCCAGCATGACTGCATGGAGCGCCGTTACCTTCCTGCCATAGCGGTACCTATTGATCTACGCACAACTGTTAGGTTGGCACAAGCTGGGGCTGACAGTGGAAGCTCACGCCGCTCCCCGGATTCGAACCTGCGACCTGTCAGTCAACAAGCTTAGCAGCCCAGTGGTTTAACCCTCTGCGCCACCGGGGGCTCCATTATTATTATTATTATTATTATTATTATTATTATTATTATTTATTTTATTATTATATTATTTGGTCTACAGGTTTCAAAAACTCATGTTGCCTGGGAATCCATGAAAGTAACTTTTAAACACTCTGGTTTTTTACAGACATCAAATATTTTATCTGACGGCCTTCTACTGAATCTATGAACGTGAATCTATGAATCTATGAGAATCTATGAATCTATATACATCTCATAGGAAACAATAGTGAGTCAAAAAATAGCTCTCTGATGTTAGTCTCTCACTGTGGGATCTTATTTATCTAGGATATTCATTTGAGCTCCTAGCTTCCAATGGGAAACAAGGCAGTGCAGAACAAAAGTGTTTATAAGCCTCCGCCAGTCCACCCCAGTCCTCAGTCTTCCAATGTTTCACCAATGTTTTAAAATTTTCATTATTTGGCCCTGCCATAGGTTTTTAATGCATCGTGGTGTATTGTTACTGTTTATTGCTTTGTTTATGAGTTTATTTATTATCTGTACTGTTGTTGTTGCTTTTTTTACTGATGTATTTGGGGTTGGCCTCTTGCAAGCCGCACGGAGTCCTTCGGGAGATGGTAGCGGCGTATAAATAAAGGTTTATTATTATTATTATTATTATTATTATTATTATTAACTACATTCATTGATGCAATCTTTGGGGCACAGCCTGCCTCATCACAGGAAACACACCTGGTCTAGGAATGTGTTTTTGTTCCCAGTTGCTGTATTGTGGTGGATAATAATAATAATAATAATAATAATAATAATAAAATAATAAAACTTTATTTATATTCCACTCTATCTCCCCACAGGGACTCAGGGTGGATTCCAAACATAAAAGGCAAACATTCAATGCCCGAATACAACAACAATACATCCATGCTAACAAAATTTATACAACCCAACACATAAATACGAATTATAACTTAACAAATTAAAATTAAATAAAAAGCCCAGCCTGTTATAACAGACACAAGACAAAACATCCAACATCAAATGGAAACATTGATTCCCCATTTCTTTGGGGCAAATCGATTAATCATTGCTCAAGATATCTATTGAGCTGATGGGGTGAGCAGGGCACGGATACGGATGGCAGCTATTAATCAGACGTATAATAGTAGTATTACCAACTACTATTCCTACTCCTCATAAGCCAGGGAGCAAAGGTATGTCTTCAGCTGTTTGTGAAACCGGAGAGGGAGGGGGCCATCTTTAACACCTTAGGAAGGGAGTTCCAGAAGTGGGGGGCAGCCATGGAGAAGTCCCTTTCTCTCGTTCCCACCAGCTGTGCTTGGGACGGGGGTGGAACTGAGAGGAGGACTTCCTCCGATGACCACAGTGTCTGAGTTGGTCTGTAGAGGGAGATGTTGTTTGTCAAATAGTCTGGACCTAAGGCATTTAGGGCTGTAAAGGTAAGAACCAACACTTTGTATTTAGCTCGGAAGCAGACTGGCAGCCAGTGCAGCTGCCGCAACGTGGGAGTGGTTCTCTCCCTGAACGGTGCTCCAGTTAATAAGCTGGCTGCCAATCTCTGGACCATTTGAAGCTTCCGAACTATCTTCAAAGGCAGCCCCACATAGCGTTGCAGCAGTCCAAACGGGATGTGACTAAGGCGTGGACTACCACGGCCAAGGCAGGCGTCTCAAGGCATGGGCACAGCTGGCACACAAGTTTTAACTGTGTGAAGGCACTCCTGACCACCACTGACACCTGGGGTTCCAGGGCCAGTGATGAGTCCAGAATCACCCCCTATGCTGGCACGGGTGTGCCAGGAGATTTGATTCTTTTTCTTGCACTGTTAGTTTGTTTGAATTTATTTGGGCCTTGCATTTTGCAATTGGGTAGCTTTCCCCAGGTTGCAATAATAGGGCCAACAACCTATCAATCATCATTAGAACCTTTAGATCCGCCCCTTTCCCCAGGTTTCGGAGGGAAAAGGGGACTTTTAGTTCAGTCTCACAGTTTGGAGCCTTATAGCAGGACATGTGGGCTTTTCTCTACCCCACCAGTAAAAAGCTTCGCTTCTTACAGCTCTGCCGGGGCCAAAGATATAGATCTACAGCCAGCTTTTGCTGGGGAAAAAGGAAAAACTCTACAGCTTTGCTGGGGAGTAAAGTTACAGTTCCACAGCTTTGCTAGAGGAATACAGCCAGCCTTTGCTAGGCAAAGGAATAGTTCCACAGCCCTCCTGGAGAAACTAAAGGGACTCCAGCTTGGCAGATCTGCAGCACCCATTGCCTGGTAAGGGACCACTCGGGCTATCCATAACACAGCTTGGAGCAGGGAGTTGGGGCCTCACGCCAGCAGGGTTAAAGAAGATTGCCAAAGAAGGGGTCGGAAGGTTTCCCTAAAGAAGATAGGAACAGTTTATCAAGGAGTTGCCTGTCCCTTGTCGGCAGATTGAGAAAGCTACCAGTTTTTCAAGATTATATGGCATTTTATTCATTTGTTCAAAGATTTAAGCCTTAATAAAGAACTTCGTTGGACTTACTTTGAGCCTCTACAAAACTTTGTTTTGGGAAACCTAAGGGACCCTTTAGCTGAGGCACCCCGGCGTCCCGTTGGGCATACAGAAAGCACGTCCTATAAACAGACGTTGTCATAGGCCCAGCGTGCGACAGTACACACCCAGACTGCGGACCTGTGTCTTCAGGGGGAGTGTGACCTCATCCAACACAGGCTGTAATCCCACACCTTGATCTGCTTTACGACTGACCAGGAGTATCTCTGTCTTGTCTGGATTTAGTTTCAGCTTGTTGGCCTTCATCCAGTCCATTACTGATGACAGGCACCGGTTTAGGACCAGAACGGATGCTTTATGAAGATGTACTGTACCGAAAATGCTGTGGAATTCGAAAAGGTACAAATGAAGGACAAAAGGGGAAAACATGTCAAGAGAAAGGCACATCAAGTCAACCCTGACCATCTGAAAACCATGTCCTCATTGCAAAGAAGCATGAAGATCAAGAATAGGTTTCAACGGTCACCTATGGACACACTGCCAAACCCTACACTTGGAAGGCAATCATACTCGGACACGAGGGATGGCCAATGATGAAGATGTGATCAACAGTTTTTCCTTCCTGGAGTAATCAAAAATCAGTAGGGGCACTAAGCACTTACTCTGAAACTATCCAAATGGTACTTCTGTCACATGGGCCTGAAAGGTGAGGACCGGTGCTGAAAGCTCCACATGGTCACAGAGAGGTCAATCTGTTCCTAAGAAGAAAGGAAGAAAAAAAGGACAGTTGAAAGCTTAATGTGTATTATACCATAAGATCCAGAAACAAAGATTGCCAAATAGCTTGTTCTTTCCCAGTTTTGTTTTATAGCTTTGTGAATGATTTCCAGCATGCTCTGTTTGTGAAGCCAGAATTTTAAGGGGAACTGGGACGTTTTCTTTTCTTCAGTGCTTATGCACAGAATTATAAAGCATATGCCATGGTACATCTGTCTGATATGTTTCCTGTTCTATTATCATGACCATTCTGATTATAATATTTATATCCCACTTTTATCACTTTGATTGGGCCCTCAAACTTTTTAAACAGAGGGCCAGGTCACAGTCCCTCAAACTGTTGGAGGGCCGGATTATAATTTGAAAAAAACATGAATTAATTCGGTTTGAATCTCTATTCGTAAAAGCACAATTGAAGAGTATAAAACAGCAGTGTTAAAACTCAATCAAAACAATACTCAACAAAACCAATTGCCAGTAGTACAATAGGTATGACCAGGTTATAAAAGGGCTGGGTATGGGATAGTGCAAGTATAAGTCTTTTCTTGTATTAGGAAAATTCTACAATTTTCATTTAAATGGTTAGTATGTTAGTATTTATGTTATCTTATCACTGACTTGCTTTCTTTCCTTTTATATTACATCAAATCCATATAATTCCATATAACCAATCCATTTTTATAGCCTATCTCAATCTTACTAGTTAATGTTGTTTCACAAAATTTCTTAAATTTTGTGTGGGTACTTAGTACTAAGCACAAGCATGTACATACAACACTAATAGTAACAATATTTTCCAGCTACAACTCTTGGATTCTCATTTTCCTGATTTTTGGTGAAGTATATATATAAATTTAATTAGAAGCCAAGCTTTCCACTCTTCAGATATTGGAGCCCAATTTCTCTTCTGATTTAACCATGATCCCTCAATTTAGTTAATGTCATTTAACAAAATTACTTAAATTTGAGATGGGTACTTAGTACAAAATTCAGTTATACATATGCAATATTGATGGTAATACTATTTTCCATAACCAAAGATCTATTATATCGACTATACTTCTTTATCCGTCTGGACTGCTGGACCGGCCATGTTGAAGTGATGGTCCTCTGCCATCAACTCCGCTGGACCGGCCATGTTGTCCGGATGCCCGACCACCGTCTCCCAAAGCAGTTGCTCTACTCCGAACTCAAGAACAGAAAACGGGATGTTGGAGGACAGGAAAAGAGATTTAAAGATGGGCTCAAAGCCAACCTTAAAAGCTCTAGCATAGACACTGAGAACTGGGAAGCCCTGGCCCTTGAGCACTCCAGCTTGAGGTCAGCTGTGACCAGCAGTGCTGTAGAATTTGAAGAGGCATGAATGGAGGGCGAAAGAGAGAAGCGTGCCAAGAGGAAGGCATGTCATGTCAACCCCGACAGGGACCACCTTCCACCTAGAAACCAATGCCCTCACGGCGGGAGACGATACAGATCAAGATTAGGGCTCCACAGTCACCTACGGACCCACCGCAAGTACACTGATCCTGGAAGATTATCCTACTCGGGCAACGAGGGATCGCCTAAGTAAGTAAGTAAGTAAATAATCCGTCTATTACCCACCTAGTACCTATGTCTTCTCTGGATCAAGTTCCAATTCATTTGTCCTCATCCAGTCTCTTACTGATGACAGACACTACTTGAGGACCAGGACAGCTTCTTTGCCTTTGTTGGGTGTCATCTGCATAAATTCCAGAAACTCCCAATAAAGTTCTTCTTGATGAAAATACCAGACAGAAAGACTTGTCTGAAGGTGGCAAAAGCCAAGCATTTGCCACTGAAAATATGAGATGAAATATATCTTCATGAGAGAACATATTTGCTGTAAGCCATCTATCAACTAATGCCTGTGTCATCATAGGTAATGAGCACCTCTCCACCTCTATGGTCTTTTTGCAATGTCTGAAAGTGTTTCTCCTTTGCTCTGCTTCAAAGGGAAAATGACTACTTTGGATTACATTTTCCAAAGGACATGGCCAGCGACCATATTGGTTGCGAGATCCTGCAAGCTGTACTCCAAAAAAGGAGTTTTTCTAAGCTTTGATCTGGCATGAACTCTAAGATCTTCTAGGGAGGCCCTCCTCTCGGTCCCACTTCCATCACAAGCACGGTTGGTGAGGACGAGAGGGCCTTCTCGGTGGTGACCCCCCGCCTCTGGAACGCCCTTCCAAGGGAAATAAGACAGGCCCCATCCCTCCCCTCCTCTCGTAAGAACTTGAACGGGCAGGATTACTTTTCATATACGTGTGTTATGGCAAAATTTTTTATGTTTATATTGTTTTGTTAATCTTATGGCTAAGTTGTTTTACTTTGTATGTTTTGTGATGTCATCTGGGAACCATTCTGAGTCCCCTCGGGGAGATAGAGCAGTATATAAATAAAGTTTTATTATTATTATATTATTATAATCCTGACTTTCTCAGTAAGACTTTGTGCATCTTTGTTGGAAAGACATGGATTTACAGTTTTCGATCCCTTTTTTGTTGAAATAATCCACTTCCTAGTGTATTTCTTTCCAGGTCATTTCGAGGTCAAAGAAAATGGGTCTTAAATCTTGATGCAAATTTCAGTTACTTTGGGGATTTAGTTGGTATTCATTGCAATGACACTGGAATTGATTGATGTTAACGGGTGTGTAGGATGCAAAGGAAACTGCTTACATTTCTTGGTTGACTGGCACAGTCCCACACAGTGCGAGTCAGATTCATTTATTCCCTAGTCCTGAAAAAGTTGGCCCTCCTTGCTGATGGAATCACATTTAATTAACAAGTCTTTGCGCTTGTTGAGTCACAGCTCCCTAAATGGCATGCTCCTGAATTGATGGAGTTGCAAGCATTGCCTGATTTCCTTCCAATCAGATACAATTAAAGTCTCCCTCACAATGTATTTATAAACTGGTAAAATGGATTGAGCTACGTGGCAGCCAAGATGAGAGGAATCACAAATTGGCCCCTCGTTTTCTCTTAGGAACCAGGTAGTACGCACAAAAGTGGAATCAACTGGATGTATTTTGGATTTGTTATTAGAGAAAATGGAAAATTTTCTCCACCTGCAGAAGTGAATTTCCCCCCATGAGCACAACATGAACATGTACATAACATAACATGCACGAACATAATAATAATAATAATAATAATAATAATAATAATAATAATAATACTTTGACGACAATACAATGTAATTTTTAGTTCGTGCTACCATCAGAACTCAAAAAACACTGGGAGAATTGACACCAAATTTGGACACAAGACACCTAACAGTCCAATTTATGTCCTCCACTAAAAAAAATAGAGTTTGACATTTGGGAGTTTCAGTTGCTGGGATTTATAGTTCACCTACAATCAAAGAGCATTCTGAACTCCACCAATGATGGAATTGGGCCAAACTTAGCACACAGGGCTCCCATGACCAACAGAAAAAACTGGAAGGGTTTGGTGGACATTGACCTTGAGTTCGGGAATTATAGTTCACCCACATCCAGAGAGCACTGTGGACTCAAACAATGATGGATCTGGACCAAACTTGGCACGAATATTCCATATGCCCAAATATGAACACAGATGGAGTTTGGGAGGAAATAGACCTTGACATTTGGGATTTGTAGTTACTGGGATTTATAGTTCACCTACAATCAAAGAGCATTCTGAACTCCACCAATGATGGAATTCAACCAAACATGGCATACAGGACTTCCATGACCAACAGAACACACTGGAAGGGTTTGGTGGGCATTGACCTTGAGTTTGGGAGTTGTAGTTCACCTACATCCAGAGAGCACTGTGGACTCAAACAATGATGGATCTGGACCAAACTTGACACAAAAATCCCATATGCCTAAATATGAACACAGGTGGAGTTTGGAGGAAATAGACCTTGACATTTGGGATTTGTAGTTACTGGGATTTATAGTTCACTACAATTAAAGAGCATTCTGAAACCCACAAACGAAGAAATGGGGCAAACTTCCCACACAGAACCCCCATGACCAACAGAAAATACTTAAGGCCATCCAGTCCAACTCTCTTCACCAGGGCAAGAAAATGTAATCAGAGCCCTCCTGAAAAAGAGCCATCCAGTCATAAATATAGATAGATATGATTCTCTCTCACACACACAGATATAGTATCATAGATTTGAAAGAGACCCTTAAAGAAGGACTATGATATGTTGCATATTCCAGAGTAGGCAAACCAGACACTCTCCACATCAACACTGACAAAGAAACAACAAGAAATACTGTTTACTCACAAGCATAAAGGAATTAGATATATTAGAAACCAACACTTTCTCATTACTTTATTTTCCAGATCACCAGACTGGGCCACAGCAACGCGTGGCAGGGGACAGCTAGTAATAAATAATAATAATAATGTTCTGTCTTCCAGGAGCTTGGTTGGCATTGCCCCTTAGTTGCATGAAATACCATCCTTTTGCATTTCCCCCCAGGGTTGCTACAGTCTCAGCAGCATCCTGAAAGTTAAGCATTAACAGAGGCTTAAAGCCAGCTTGCAAAGCCCTCTGCTGTTATTGGTTTAAAAAAGTATCCTTTGGTCCAGAGACCGCCCTTTTTCCTGGGGATGAGATCTCCATGTTGGAAAAGCTCTCCTGCCTTCTTCAGTTTAGAAAAAGCCTCAGATGTGCTTTGGTCAAGCTAGGCAGCTCGGACAGGCCATCGTGAGTACTTACCCTCCTGCCTTTGAAACTGGTGCTGAGCTCAAATAGGGGAAGACCTGCTCTTTCTAAAGATAGCAGCTCAGGGTTAGGGTAAATAATCCCAGGATTTTTCTACCATTGGGGGAAGTTAACTCAGTGGCTGAAGGAAAAAGGAAGGAACATCTATATAATTTCACAAGTTGACTGTGTTTGTAACTGCAACAAGCTGTAGTCTTATTTCCTCCAAAAAAAAAAAAAAAGTAACTGCAACAAGCTAAGCCAAGTCTTC